ACTTATACTTCTACGGCTACGACTACGACTAGTACTGTTACTATTGTGACGGCAACTACCACTATTACTACTACGACGACTAAGCTTAACAATAACGACGCTACTAATGTAATATTATTGTATTTTACATCAGTCATAAGAAGCAGGAGATGTCGATCAGTATGTTTAGTACTACTAGCACTGATAATGCTACCACGATTGTTCTTATAGTCTTATGCGCAATAATAACATTAGCAATACGAAGGCTAACGCAACTAGTTATATTCATACGAACGAGAAAATGACACGAATACTCCTACTCGCAAGAATGATCGTACAACGACTACTAGTAACAATGCTACTGAGGAGCATCAGAGGAATACTAACTGCAAGACTAGTAGTAATAAGAACAGGAATGCGAATACACATCATAATGACACTTTTGATATGAATACGACTACTAAGAGTAATACGAAGAGGAAGATGATGATGATGATGATGATGATGAGGAGGAGGAGGAGGAAGAGGAGGAGGAGGAGGAGGAGGAGGAGGAGGAGCAGGAGCAGGAGCAAGAGCAGGAGGACGAGGAGGGGGTCAGGCAGGACGAAAGCGTCGCCCCGTCCGCCCTGGAGCCGCCCCTGCGCCGCCCCCCTTTTCTCCTCCTCCTCCTCCTCCTCCTCCTCCTCCCCATCTTCCTCCCCACTTTCCGATGTGGAAGCGATGTGGACTTTCCTTCCCGCTTTCCCCCGACGTTGTGACTTTTCACGATGTGGAACTCCAGAGGTCTAGACCAGTTCCCAGGGACCGGCTTTTCACCCTGACCCGTGGCTTGCTGCCCGGGGAGCCAGGCAGGGGCCCGCAGAGGCCGACTACGGTGTATGATGAACTCCCGTCGGGTTTTCTTCGTAACGCGAGCAGGTGCCCGCCCCCTCCCGCCCGGCCAGGCCACGTACCTGAACCGTCCCCCCCATTCCTCCTCCCCCTCCGCATCTCCCTCCCCCCTCTCCCTCCGCATCTCCCCCTCCGCATGCCCCTCTCGTCCTTGAACCCATTCCTCCTCCCCCTCCGCATCCTTTCCCCCCTCCCCCTTCTTCGCAGGGCGCCACCGCCATCTTACACCGATCCTGGCCAGGCCTTCCTGGGCCGCCCAGGATCAGCGTATGCGCCCTCCTGGCATGGCGCAGGATGCACATGCACCGATCCCAGGCCCAGGACTGGCGTAGGATCGGTGCAGGTGTATAGTTGGCGCCCTCCGACCTTTCCTCTGCCGCCCCTCCATCGGGCATGCGGGGACCCTGTCGCGTCGTCTGCCCTGTCTTCCCTCTCCCAGGGCGAGACGAGCGAGCTCTTCGACATACTCAGTGGGATCATCACCGCCCACGACTGCTGGCATGTTGACTCCAAGGACTGGCGGATGTCCCCCCTCCCCTTCTCCCCCTCCTGAGGATGCAACTCCTGGGATGTTGAACTCAGCATCGGCGCTGGCCTAATCTGAGATCGGCCCATTTACTCTGGCTCAATCCCGTTTGATCCAGCTCAATCCTGGGCATGCCCCCGCCAGATCAAGCTCAGGTCTTTCAATCTGGCTTATCATTCCTTACGGCAGGTCCGCGTTGTGTCGACCAGCCGAAACCCCGTCGCCGGCGTTCAACGTCGAACGCCGTGGGCGGCCCAGAATCGGTCGACGTCGAACGGTCTGACGTTTCGGACGCGGCCGATCCTTCAAGGGTTGAACGATCCCCTCGATGTCAGGAACCAGCGCTGGGGTCGACTCGACGCGAACCCGCCGCAGTCGCTCTTACGACGCTCTCTCAGAAGCTGCCCCCTGACCAGGAGGAGGAGGAGGAGGAGGAGGAGGAGGAGGAGGAGGAGGAGGAGGAGAAGCATCATCAACATCATCATCATCACCATCATCATCATCATCATCATCATCATCATCATCATCATCATCATCATCATCATCATCATCATCATCATCATCATCATAATCATCATCATCATCGTCATCATCATCATCATCCATTACCCATCATTATCATCGTCATCATCATCATCATCATCGTCACATCATCATCATCACACCATCACATCATCAACATCATCATCAACATCATCAACATCCAACATCATCATCATCATCATCATCATCATCATCATCATCATCATCATCATCATCATCATCATCATCATCAACATCATCATCGCCTCGCCGCCGACGATTTTTTTGTGCCGTTGTCCCGCACCAGGCCCGCCCGCCTCACTGCAGCAGGCGGCCTCTCGCCGGGCATCCCCTGGTCGGCTCCACGCCACAGTCCCGTCCTTGCCCGGACCTCTCTGGCGTCTTTTCCCATCCGGGCGGTCTTCTTCCACGTCGGCCCCCGGGGCCCGCCTCTGGGCCCCGTGGCCAGAACAGACACATGTCCAGGGCGCAAAGCTGCCCCCGGGGAATCACAAGTATGTCCAGGACGCAAGCCTGCCCCCTGGGGAAGTGGTCGGGAGCCCTGGAGACGCGGGTTGGAAAAATAAGATGGGTTGATGTGAGGGTAGTTGATTGCCTGCTGGGCTTCTCGAGACAGTCTGTGCAAGCGTCGTCAAGTCTTGACGATCCGCGTTTTCCCACCAGCCGCCGCCGCGCCATTTTGGCTGCGCTTACTTGCTGGTCGCCACCGGGATTTCCCACGCCACCGGGTTTGGGAGTTTCGGCTCTGGCTCTCCTTCTGAGTGGCTGCCCGCTCGCTCGCTTCGCTTGCCTTTCTTTTCCTGCTGCCTAGTCGCGGCCCGACTAGTGTTCGGACGGCTTTCGACCCGCCTCGAGAGCCTGTTGACCAAAAGTTTTCCCACCCGCCCACTCGGAACTGACCCTCCCAGCGAGCTGTCATGGGAGCCTCGTGGAGCCCTCCTGGAACCATTTTGGGAGGTCTCTCTCTCTCTCGGGGCCCTCTTGGGATCCTGCTGGGGCTCTTTGGGGGGTCTTGGGTCATCTTGGGCGATCTTGGACTCCGTTGGTCAAAAGGGGGGGCTCCTTAAATGAACCCCCCACCCTCCCTTTTCGGAGGGCCGAGCAAGCTGCTCCTTGGGATCCTCGTGGGGCGCTCTTGATGGCTTCTTGGGGGCCTCTTGGGCCGTCTTGGGGGCCGTCCGGGCTCCTCTTGAAGCTCCCCTGGGTCATCTTGGGGCCATCTTGAGGCCTCGCAGACCCATCGGAAACGAAAAGGCGAGAAGACCATAATTATTAGCAACTGTTTGTTTGACGATTTTTTGGGTTATTGGGGGGCTCCTCGCGGGGCTCGGGAGGCACTTAGAGCCGCTTTGGAGGTATACCGTAGGTTATTTTGGGCCATTTTCGGCTATCGTGTGCCATCTTGGAGGCCATCGTGGGGCAGCGGGTGCCATCTTAGAGTCATGTGGGGGGAGGCGAAGTAAAACCCTCCTTGGCACGGTCAGGAACTTTGGCTTCGCGCGTCGCTCCGCCAGTTCTGGCCCACCACGCTTCGGCGCGAAACGCTATCCACTTCGCGGTCCCCAGGCGTCAGCGTCACGAGCTCTTCCCACCCACCCGCCTCGCGGAGCGGAGCGACGCGCTATTCGCTTGCAGGGCATAACGTGTCGCTGGGGCCGCCGCAGCGACACGCCAAGCAAAAGGCCCCGAACGTACGACCCTCCCCCGCCTCCTCCTCCTCCTCCTCCTCCTCCTCCTGGATTCCTGTGAGGAGCTCTCAGAGGGCAGCCTGGGGCGTGGTAGCCCGCGGAGCTTCGAGAGTCCAGGGCTTGAGCCCTGGCAGGAGAGGAGCGTGCTGGTGCGAGCCTGCACCAGGGAGGAGGAGAAGGAGGAAGGATTTGGAGGATGATCGCCAGGAGGAGGAGGAAGAGGAGGAGGAGGCGGAGGATGAGGAGGAGGAGAAGGAGCAGGAGGAGGAGAAGGAGGAGGAGGCGGATGAGGAGGAGGATGAGGAGGAGCAGGAGGAGGAGGAGGAGGAGGAGGAGGAGGAGGAGGAAAAGGAGAAGGCCCGGAGGGGGACTCTCGAACAGATCGCGGGGGGCGTCCTGGGAGGTCCAGCTGCTCTGAGCTCGATGGAGGAAGCACGATGACCATGACCAAGATATCGCGAGATCTTGTCGACACCGATCTCGGTTATGGTCCATGCGGGCCGTCGCCAATTCGGAGGATGGTCCACGGATTGGTGGCGACCAAGATGGACGATGACCAAAATCGGCACCACTGTTCCCACGTTCAGTCTCAGTCATGATCATTCTTTTCTGTCCGTTCATGATCCCCACTTGATTCTCGTACTCCTGTTGGGCGTCGGAGTGGATTCTAATGCGGCCGAAAGAGGCTCCGAGAGAGGCTGGAGGTCCGCTCGAGATGGCTGGCCGAAGCCCGCTCGCGGCAGAGCGGAGCTCGGAGCTCCGGGTGTGCGGCAAGTTCGTGTCGTGTCGACGTGCGGCGGCCCCCGCGCGGGCGTTCTGGGCTGAGCGCCAGCGGCCCAGAATCGGCCAACATGGAACGATCGGGCGATCGAAACGCCGCCGATCGTGCAGGGTTGAACGATCCACGCGGTGTGCCGCAAAGCAGCGCCAGGGTCGTCACGACACGAGCCTGCGGTAGTTGCCGACCCGCTCGCCAGGACTGGTCGAGCTCGCAGACGTTCTGGTGCGCGCACGAGCACGGTGTGCACCTCGCCGCGGGGAGTGGTGGGAGGTACGCCGCCCGCCAGCTGGTGATGACGGAGGGCAAGAGCGTCGGGAATTACAAGGCTCGAGGAGAGGAGACGGCACCAGCACGCGCTTCCTGAGCTCCCCGCGGGTTTCTTGGATCGGCGCTGGGGCCCCCCCCCGCGCCGGGGAGGGGGGGCCCAGCGCCGATCCAAGGAACCCCGCGCGAAGCCCAGAGAGCTCACGTCCATGTCTCTCATTTCAGACCTCTGAAGGTGGAGACGCTGGGCGACTGCGCCAAGAAGTGCGACGAGACGCCCAAGTGTCACTCCTTCTCCTTCAGCCTCGACGCTGGGCTCACCCGGGAGGCCCGCTGTGCCGTCGCGCCCCCCGCTCGCCAGTCTTCCTCCTCCTGCTCCTCCTCTTCCTCCTCCTTCTCCTTCTCTTCCTCCTCCACCTCCTCCTCCTCCCTCCTCCCTCCTCCTCCTCTCCTCCTCCTCCTCCTCCCCCTCTTCCTCCTGCTGCTGCTGCTGCTGCTGCTTCTCATCCACCCTCCTCCTCCTCCTCCTCCTCCTCCTCCTCCTCCGCTGTGTTCCGCGAGCTGGCTGGGCTTGATTTGCCACCCGGTTTCTTCTCGGGGAGCTTTTCGGGTGCGGGCGCGGCAGCCTCCTGGCGACGGCGGATTTTCTCGATGATCATCCTGCGAATGTTTGCGTCAGGCGGCGCGCCCCCGACGTCGTGGAGGGTGGTCCAAGATCAGTGCCTATTGGCTCGAGAGAAGAAAGGTTCGGGGATATGTCCCCAGCCTTGGGACCTCACGAGCCCGATTCGGCTCGATGGCCAGCTCGGCTGACTCGGTCATGCACTCAGGTAGGGTAAACCGTTCCGTTCTTGGTAGTTTGCTAACGTCACTGCGCGTCCCACTCGGGTGCGCGAACCGTCTCGAGGGAAGGACGCGTTGCAGATCACCCGCGCTGGTGGCAGTGGTGTTGACGATGCGAGCGGCTGAACCGTCCTGCGTGTGCGCGTCAAGTCCAGGCTGGCAGTGGCACATTTACCATAAAGAGCGTTCTTACCTTGCGAGGTCCCAGGGACCTAGTTGAATGCTTCGTGAGGGGGGCTAGGTGTGATAGCCGAAAACTGGACGATCCAGGAGACTACCATTATGTTCCGTAGCTCTTCAGGGTCGTCTGCGTTGGCTCGGTATTTTTCTTGGAGAGATGTACTTCTCGCCCCGCCAGTCTTCACTAATCGGGCAGAACACCACGCACAAAACGTGGCCAACGCTGGCCTGACACGACTGAGACCGAAGCCACCCTGTTCGCAGAACACGTACTGCGTCGCCTCGACCACGAGCTTGTTCAGGATTGGATGGGCGCGGCGGGGTACGGCGCCCGCAGCTTGCAGACGGGCAGTAGCAGGGGCTACATTACATGTTCATCAACTTCATGGAGACCGAGGCGGCGCGCAGGTTCCCGATGGCGGTGGACGGCCTGCAGCTGGGCCGCAAAAGGCAGGCGCTGTCCGTTTCGCTTTCCGAGACGCAGGGTCCGAGGGGGCCCCCACCAAGTGGAGCAAGAAGGTCGGCCCTCCAGGCCCAGACCCCCTTGGCGCTCCCGCATGTCCGCGGCGAGGCCGCCCTCGGGCTCGGGCTCGGGCTCCGGTTCCAGCCTGGGCTTGGGCTCGAGCTCGGGCTCTAGATCGGGCTTGTTCCGACCTGAGCACGTCGTTGAACAGGCAGGAGAGAAGGACGCATATGTAACTAAATAAACGTACGTTTCGAAAGTACGCATTGCGCGCATGTTCGTATCACGAGGCTGGCCTCGCGCACTAGGGGGCCGCGGGGGACTGGCCTTCTCAGAAGGTGTCGGGGCTTCCCGGAAGCCCTCACGCCTTCTGAGAAACCACCCGTGGCTTCGGAGAAGGCTTTCAAGGCTTTAAGGCTTCTTGAATAAGCTTCCCTACTCCACTATACGCGCCACCTGAAGGTCTCGTACTAGTATTATTTCTACACCTTCCACAACAACAGCAACTATGACTATAACGACAACAACAAAACAACAACTACTACTAAGACAACTACCACTCGTACTACTACTACTACTACTACTACTACTACTACTACTACTACTACTACTGCTACTGCTACTACTACTACTACTACTACTACTACTACTACTACTACTACTACTAACACTACTACTACTACTACTGATACTACAAATACTCCCACTACTACTTCTCCTGATGCTACTACTACTGCTACTGCTGCTGCTACTGCTACTGCTACTGCTACTGCTGCTACTACTACTACTACTACTACTACTAATATTACTATTACTATTACTACTACTACTACTACTACTACTACAGTTAGTACTAGTCCCACTACTACTACTACTACTACTACTATTTTGTGGCACTACTATCACTGCTACTACTTCTACTGCTGCTACGATTACTATTGCTATTACGACCACGACTACCATGTAAATTCTTAGTACTACCACCACTACTCTTACTATTGCTACTACTACTACTACTACTACTATCACATCTTCTGCTACTGCGACTACTACCTACCGCTACTACCACTGAGTATATTGCGTATACTATTGCTACTACTACTGCTGCTGTTGCTGCTGCTGCTACTCCCACTGCGACGAGGACTACGACTACCACAAATACTACTGCCAGTATTGTTATTGCCAACATTACCACTACAACTTCTATTCGTATAACTATCACTACTACTACTTGTTTACTTATACTTATACTTCTACTTCTACTAGGTCCTCTACTTCTACTTCTACTTCTACTTGGACTTCGACTTCCTACTTGCTACTTCTACTTCTACTTGTACTTGCACTTCTACCTCTACCTCTACTTCTACAACTACGACCACGACTTCGACTACTTTTCCTATTACTATTACTACTACTACTGCTATTATTACTATTACTATTACGACTAGTACTACTACTTCGATAGGTACTACCACTACCACCACCACCACCACCACCACCACCACCACTACTACTACTACTACTACTGCTACTACTACTACTACTAGTAGTACTAGTACTAGTACTAGTACTAGTACTAATACTACTACTACCACTACTACGACTACTACTGCCACTACTACTACCATTATGTTTATTACTAGTACCACTACTATTATTATTAATCCTACTGCCACTACGACTACTACTACTACCACTACTACTACCACTACTGCTACCACTACTACTACCACTACCATTCGTGTTACTATTACTACAACTACTACTGCTACGACGAACACGACGTCGACGTCGACGACGACGACTACTATTACTAATCTTACTACTACTAGTATCACTACTTATACTTCTTCTTCTATTTCTACTCCTACCTCTACTTCTGTTCCGATTGCTACAGTTTCTTTGTCTTCTACTTCTACTTTCACTTCTACTTATACTTTTAGTTCTACTTCTACTTCTCATTTGGACTTCAACTTCCACTTTCACTTCTACTCTTACCTCTACTTCTCCTTCCACAACTACGACTACGACTGCGACTACTAGTTCAACTACTACTACAATTCTTTCTATTACTACCACTACCACTACAATAGCACTACTCCTACCACTTCTACTACTACTACTACTGGCACTACTGCTACCACTACTATTTTAATTTCTTTTGTTAATACTACTTCTACTACGGCTATTACTACTACTACGACTATTACCACCATTAGTATCATTATCATTAATACTAATACTACTACCACTACTACTACTACTACTGCTACTATTACTACTACTACTACTATTACTACTACTACTACTACTACTACTACTACTACAATGGCTACTCTTACTACTACCACTACTCCTTCTACTTCTACTACCCCTGGCATTAGTATTCCTACTACCACGACTACTACGCCGACGACTACTACTACGACGACGATGACTACTATTACTGTTACTTCCACTATTGCTTCTACTACTACTACTACTACTACTACCAATATCGTAATTATTATTACGACGACTACGACTATTACTACGGTCACTACTACTATACTACTACTGCTACTTCTATTACTACTACTTTTACTACTGCTACTGCTACTGCTACTACTACTACTACTACTACTACAACTACTGCAGTACAACAACTACAACTAATACAACTACTACCACTACTACTACGAGTACTACTACTACTACTACTACTACTACTACTTACCAATTACTACTACTACTACTACTACTACTACTACTACTACTACTACTACTACTACTACTACTACTACTACTACGGCGACTACTACTACGACGACGACGACTATTACTATTTCTTCTACTACTACTACTGCTACTACCACTATTACTACTACTACAACAACTACTACTACTACTACCACCACTACTACTACTACTACTACTACTGCTGCTGCTGCTGCTGCTGCTGCTACTACTACTACTACTACTACTACTACTACTACTACTACTACTACTACTACCCAGGCGATGCCACCTGGGAGCCCCAGAGGGGCTCTTACACTCCGCCGTTTGCGCTTGGGCCGTCCGAAGACACCGCTTCGACCTGCGTGGATATCACTTATTCGAGCATCAGGCCGCGGGAGCGCACGGCCTCCTCGGCATGTCGAACCCGCCCAGCGTGTTCTAGCCGAGAGGTGCTCGCTCGTCCCCCGGCCTTGTAGAGGGATTGCTGAGGGGGGGGTCGCGGTGGCAAGGTGCGGCTGTAGCTTGGGGTCCTCCATTCAAAGGGTCCCAGGGCAGATTGCCAGCGAACTGGCTTCCGTGCCGAGCAGCATTCGGCTTCGCAGTAGCTGCCGAGGACGCGGCGGCGTTCCTCCCAGCAAAAGCTTCCCCGCCTCGCGCCGCGTGGCTGGCCAGGCCTTTCGTTGCCCACTGCATTGGCATTTTTTTGATGGTTATGCTATTTTATATTTTTGTTTGTTTGTTTGTTTGCGTTGCTCTGTTTTGTTTTGTCTTGTTTGTTTGTTGTTTCGCTTGTTTTTTTCGCGCGTGGGGGTGGTCCTTGCCTCGGAGGGCCCCTCGGGCTTGACTTCAAGGCGGCCTGCTCGCCTCGTCGCCCTAGGAGGCTCCGTTGGGGGCTTCCGCGCCAGCTCACTGGGGCCGCTTTAGGTTCACACAAGGCGCTCGCGACCCGTAGTCCTCAGTTCAGATCTGGGTCTAGACGTCCAGACAGGACCGTTTGTTTTTGTGTATGTGCAGTTGAAGTGATTGCATTAGTAAAGCGGTGTGCGTCCATACATGTATATATAGGCATAAAAGTATACCGCAGAGATAGACTGACATATATATATATAGAGAGAGAGAGAGAG